AGCTTCATCGTCTTCATCAGCACCTCCACACCCCCCACCACCATTCCGCACCGCAACCGACCCTTCGATGTCCTCCCGCACACACACCCTCCCGCCATCAATAAAACGCCGCGCCACCGGCCTGCCAGACGAACGACCACGCACCCCTACCACCGGCTCATCCCTAATCATCAACGCAATCCAAACACCCTCCACCGCGCCTCCCACAGATGGAAACGAACCACACTCCAAACCCCTACCTCCCCTCCCTCCCCAGTCCCCAGGCGCAGCACCAGATTACTTCCCTTCGTCCTCGCATGTCCAGCCCACAGACGATAAGCAGGAAATGCAGCGCCGGCGTCTAGAAATGGAGAGTAGCGCACCGCCACCTGCGCACGATGAAGAAGGAGAGAGTTCGCAGGGCCCGTCTGCACCGCCGCTTTCCAATGGTGTGCATGCGCTGCACCTTGCGCAAGGGCATTTGGCCCCGTCGGCGCCCATGTTGGATGAAGACGACGAAGGGTTAATCACGGCTATTACACCCGTGCGCAGTCGAGCAAATCCCATTGAGAGTGCGAGGGAGAGGCCCGTTAGTGAGGCGTTACCTGAGTATCAGCGGTGAGTGGAAAAGAAGGCGTTTTCTGGCGATATCGTGCGCCCCCTCCACCATTCTTTGGAAGGGTTTGTTTGTCTGCTTGGGATTGCGCGTTATAGAGTTATGATACCTTGTTCGTGTAGAGATTGGTGTTTTTAAAATTATCGCATTTTCTTCACATGGTTGGAGTTCCTTGCTTGTGTTGTGTGAATCGTTGGTGGGTCGATGTAGGGCCGAGGAGGTAGTCACTTGGCTAAAATTCACGTGGGAATATCACGGCGTGTGGCTCTGAGATTCAGATGTTAGAATTTCACCATGCCAGAAGAGACCCTAGATTGCCTTCTACAGTACCGTCAGGACCGTTGCGACCATGTGTTGTATTCGCCAAAACACTCTTAGGCTGCTCTTATACCGTCGTACAGATTGTTGTCTATGCCGCAAAGACAGGATATGCATGTAATGGCCATTTCCGCATATCTTCTGCACTGCTTCTATTGTCACTATGAATATGTGTTGTACACACCAAAATAACTCCACACCGACCTGGCCGTATGGCAGTGAAATACTGCTCTTCTGTCCTTGCTGCTGGTCTTCTCCTACCCATATACCGAGCACATTGGGTAATCTTACGTCGTACAAACATGATTTGACTACTGAGTCTCACCCTGACAGAAAAAGAAACCACATGTCCAACGGGCCGAAACTTCAACTTTCGTTCCATTGCCACAGTGCGATAACATTCCAGAGGCTACTTGGGTGGCGGCAATTGTCTTGAGTGTGTTGTAGTACTTGTATGGTGCGTCCCGACCTTTAAGCGGGTATAGGTGATCACTGTTTCCGCAATAGCATGGCATGTCCAGGATTCGATCAGCCCTCTCGTTCAATCGAGTTCGGGAAGAAATTGAAAATACAGTCAAGCTTATTCTCGGTGATCCAGGGGTGGTTGCTTTGGTTGATAGCAGTCGCTTTTGTGCCGAAGTGTCCATTTTTCGAATTTGTAACCGGAGTGTCACGAAAGAAACTGAGAGCGTCCCTATACGCCTTTGATTTTCGATTGAAGTTTGGCCCCAGAATCAACAGGACAAGTTTGCAGACTTGCAGTTTACGAGCGGAGATACTAACCTTAAACTCAATCCCAAAAATTACAAGTGTGATGTCTGTGCTGGTGTGGTAGTAGGCGAGATGTTCTAGTTGTTGAAGCCGTTTTACCAGAGTAGTTGAGTAACTAAGATCTTGATTCTTCGTGACATAGAGTTTGATGAGATCGGTGGTGTCTTGATTGTTGAGATGAGAATGCGGTAACGGGAAGACAGAAACCTGGAGGCGGGTCTGAAGCGCTGAATGTGCCGACGAATAGACGTGGGGTGGCGGAGCTGGAGCAGTGCTTGTGTTGGACAGAGTGCCCACTTCTTCTTCGTCGTCATCATCATTGTGTGGTAGATGGAGTTGATCAATTTCTTTGTGTTTGAGAATTGCCTGGTTTGCTGACTGTTCTGCAGCGATAGATTCTTCGAGTGTTGGATGCTTAGCATACTCTGGGCTTGAGTCTCGTGCAGATGCTAGTATTGGCAGCGGAGAAGTCCCAGCCAGCATCGACAGTGGGATTGGCAGTGACGAAGGCCCAGACGGTATTGACAGTAGAGAAGGCCCGGCCGACGTTCTGGCGAGCGAAGTTGCACTTGATCCCGATGCAGTCAACAGCGGACCACCTCTAGCATACGGTTTCGTGGGCACGTAGCCGGCTACCACCCACTGCCGAGACGAAGTATGGCTGCTCTTACTCACATGAACGTATTTTTGTTTTTGTGATGGTTTTGGCGCTGGTGGTACTGTTGGCGCTGACGAGATCAGTGGTGTTGATTCTGACGACTCTCGTTGAATCTGAACTGATCCTGACTGCCACATCGACGTTGCCAACGCGCACGGAATGGCAGCAGCGATGACCTCGGATGGGAAACGATAACCGACGCACTGTAGTTGCTGTTGAATGTGACGTGACACGCTGTCGATGCTTTCGTATGAGTTGCGAGGGGAGACAACCTGGCGTACGCGGCGGAGATGCCAATCAAAGTTCTCTGTACAGGAGGGAGTATTAGCTTGTGTCTTATATGGAGTAAGGAAGAGTACGTACGGTTTGCCATAGTTACGATAACAACGAATTGCAGCAGAGAGCAGTGAGTGCGAAGCGTGGATGTGTGGACGCGTGCGTGCGTAACTCAGAGCCTCAAGAGAGGAAGTGAGAAGGAGAATGGTGAGAACAAATGGTGCCCGGTTACCAAGCAAGTGGTTGGTGGTGACGTGTGCTCCTTCTCCCCCGTGTAGCGTCCTTCCTTCCGTTGCATCTCCCCTCCCACATTCGCTGCATATCGCTCTCGCTCATTGCATATTCCCTCCATTCGCTTCATATCGCTCTCGCACATTGTGTTGTCCTCTCGTCTCCTCCCTCGTTACATCCTGCTCTCGCTCGCTGTGGTGTCGCTCTCGCTCGTTGTGATGTTCTCTCGCTCGTTGCATCCTGCTTCCATTCGTCATCATGGCCGGCTCCTTCTTCAGTTTGTCCATTTCTCTGATTTGCCCTTTGCTACATGCAGAATCTGAACCATGGCGAGAGTATCATTGTCTGGGTCGTGCATGCATAACTGTCTTTGTGTCGGGAACATCGACCTAAACACGTAGCCAAGCCGTACATTGCCCGGATTTGTGCATCGCCCCATCATACGGGTAACGTCAAAGGGTTGCATGCTTTTTCTGTGCTGGTCAACAAGAGATGTCAGTTGACTTGGCGGTGTTGAGTCGAGCAATTGGTCGTGTCCAAGCAGCGCTCGGCACACTACGTACATATCGATCATTGTGTACCATGACAGTAGTGTGTGCGTTTCGATACTGAATCCTGCTGTTCGTAGAAAACAACCAACTGCGCTAAGGCTCATCCCGTTGGTTGTTACGCCGTTGTAGAAATTCATAAAATACGATTTGCGAGTCCAGACAGAAGTACCGCGGTCACCTTGGTGCGCAGCTAGAAAGTGTTCCATGTCATCTAGGTTAATGCCATCGTAGTCTACGGATGTAGATAATACGAGTGTGCCGTCTCGTACATTGCGAATTGATATGGCATAGGGCACAGCGTTTACACCCCTAACTGTACTGAACTCGACGTCGACGGCCCAAAGAATTCTGTTGTTGTAGTGTTGGTGTAGTACACGGAAGTTTTCTTTGTCAGTGGTGGGAGAAGAGAATATGACGGCGTCCTGGAAATCGATATTGTGATGCCACCCACGGGGTTTTGCGAGACTTTCCAAAAGCGCTCTCGTCTCCTTGTCGCAAGAGTCCCAAGCTTCGAGGGCGATAGTATAGTGTTCGACACAGAAGTCGGAATATGCGCATGGCTCGTACGGGCAACAATAGTGGGCAGCACAAGACTTCTTGTCGTTGTAGTGCATGGATGATAGGAGCTGATCTCTGGTTTCATCGTCGAGAGGGGGGATTTCTGTCATGTCGTTTGTTTGTTCTGGGCGGGCTTCGAAATCTTCGTTGGTTGGAATTTGTCCATGAAGCCTATCGAGTGAGACAGACGTCGAGGTCGGCGCAACGAAATCGAAGCTTTCAAGATGTACAACTTCAAAAGGCTCCTTTGGCTTGGTAGATTTGAAGCGAAGACTAAGCAACACTGAAACATCCCGTCAAGTGTAACTGGGCCCCAGGTCTCGAACCTCTCACTGTGCTTTGTAGTTATCAGCGTCGAGTAAGTGAGAACGTGATGTATCGGTTGGGGCACTGGAGTCCTGCCTACACTAGTAAGCAAGCGCGGACGCGGTGGTACCTTCCTTTGACACCCTCCAACACGATATTGTCGCCGCTACAGCATTGTGATGAAGTTTTGATTCCGATTGCATTTCAGATCTGTTTTCCTGTGTCTTTTGAGAGTGGAGTTCACATGGCTCCACAATACTGCGATCCAAGACGTCTAAGGCTCGAAAGACATTCCACGATCCTCAAAGCTCTGTACTCTACCAATCTTATCTCCTATATATATTATACAAACTGCCATACTTCCATCAAGCATTCTTGGTCCAACGGTAGGATAATTGCCTTCCAAGCAATTGGCCCGAGTAGAGATGTTTTGAGGCCAAAGGTATCAGTGCGGTATTGGATAGACGAATCGCTACCGTACTGGTATGAATTTAGGTACTTTATGTACTAGCGGGACCTATTGCCGCACGTAATGGCGACTGTCCTTTACTCTTGGGCCCGTTGCCTGACATAAGGTGGCTAAGAACTACATATAGCTAAAAAGTCGGTGGCTGAGCTCAAGATGGCTTTCATAAGGTTAGGGTCAGCATCTACGAAGTATGACCTATAAGGCTAAGGCGTCCAAGCAGATCAATCAGATCAATCAGAGCAAAAAAGGCGGCTTGGAAGAGGAGTTTGCATCCTCCGGGAATCGAACCCGGGCCAATTGCTTGGAAGGCAATTATCCTACCATTGGACCAAGAATGCTTGATGGAAGTGTGTTCGTCTGTGTAAAATATATTGCCAAAAAATGCATAATTGTTCTTTTCGCTTTTTGGAGGTTCATGCACAAAATTCGAGACGCTCGATGTTTTCTTTTGCTGGTTACAGTACCGCCTGCACCTCTGTCAAACTAGGTTTTTGCATAGTATATTGGTTCTCTGCAGAGGAATCTGTAATTACTCTACACTTCACTTATAGACTTCTGGAGTGATTCAGAACACAGCAAAGTGGTTTTACGGAGGCCGTATGGTAGCCTTGTCGTGATTCCCTCGGCCTTGTAATCCACATTGCAGGGGAAAATCAGCATACAAAATACCACATCTCGAAATTAAACTTGTCACGAATAACAGGGCACATATTCAGTCTTCCATCATTTTTCCCTTTGCGGACAGGCACGCCCTCGGATCTGGTGTTGAGGAGGCTGAGATCTCGCAGCGGCTTGGCTAAGAAGGCGCGCCCCTCAACGCGGGGCAGCTGCATGCGTTATCGATTGGTGGGACGTCATCCTTCAAAAGTTTGAAACCGCACATCGGAGCTGTAGTCAGCGTTTCTTTGTCAGTAGGACCGTGGAGGACTGGTTGTTGCGCAGTAGCTCGTCTAGCACATATTCCATGCCGTAGCCCAGTTGTGCCCAGTCTCCAGTCGCGAGCATTGGGTCATTACACGTGCGGAAAGAGCCCCTCCTGACTCACCTACGGGCGCGATAGGCAAGACGCGCAAAAGTTGTCGACTAAACGACACATCCACCGCTCCCAACCCACATACATCTGCAGCGCGCGCACATCTCCGTTCTCCGCCAGACCCGTCAGTACCCAATTAGACGTTCCTACGTGGGCACTCGGTCTCAGCTCGCGCGCAAAACATTGAAGCCCAGCCGTCCTCCGTCGCACCGCTGTTTGCAATACCCCATACCTTAATTGCGTGCTAGATATAACCAGCATGGATCTAGTCAACTCGTACGTGCTTCCTCCCCGCTTCGTCTTTCCCTTGTACACCACATAGACAACATGCCTCACACCAACGGTGCCAATGGCGCGGAGCTGCCGACTGAGATGGAATACATCATGCAAAGAGCGCGTCAAGGCAGTCGCAGCTTGCCATTCATGACTGACACATTGGGCAACAGTCTAAACGACCGATTGCTCTTCGCGGTACCCAAGAGTGAGTGTTCCGCTCTGCCAATTGCCGGACTGTACTCATGAATGCAACAGAGGGCCGTCTCCACCAAGTCTGTCTCGACCTCCTCCACGGTTCCGACATTCAATTCCACCGCCACTCGCGCCTCGACATCGCGCTGGTCAAGAACCTGCCTCTCGCGCTCGTCTTCCTCCCGGCAGCCGACATTCCCACATTCGTCGGTGAAGGCCGCGTTGATCTCGGTATTACCGGCCGCGACCAAGTTGAAGAGCACGAATGCGCTGTGCCCCCCACCGCGACAACTGGCGTAGTGGAGGTCCTCGACCTCGACTTCGGCAAATGCAGTCTGCAAGTCCAGGTCCCCTCCAAGGGCGACCTGGCTAAGCCAGAAGACCTGATTGGAAAGAACGTCGTCACTTCTTTCACGAACCTCGCAGAGCAGTACTTCAGGAAACTCGAGGCCGAGCAGAGCGGCGCGACAAACGGCGATGCAAGCGACGCGAAGCTCAAGACAAAGATCAAGTATGTTGGTGGCAGTGTAGAGGCAGCCTGTGCGCTTGGTGTCGCAGACGGCATTGTCGATCTCGTCGAGTCGGGCGAGACGATGCGCGCAGCAGGTCTGAAGGCCATCTCTACAGTCGTCTCGTCCAGCGCTATCCTCATCAAGTCGAAGCACCCCTCAGACCCCAAGCTTGTCGATCTGATCACAGCCAGGATAAAGGGTGTCATTAGTAAGTCTCCCTCACTATTCAGCTACTCTGCAGACTTCTTTGCAATCTACTTGCAAATTACATACTAACCAGTGCAGCCGCCCAAAAGTACGTCCTCTGCACATACAACATCGAGCGCTCGAAGCTCGACATCGCCAAGACTATCACCCCCGGAAACCGCGCGCCGACCGTTACCTCGCTCGAGGAGAGCGGCTGGGTCGCCATCTCCGTCATGGTGCAGAGGAAGCAGATTGCTATTGCTATGGATAAGCTTACCGAGGCGGGCGCTTGCGATATCCTGGTAACCAAGATTGAGAACTCGAGAACCCACGATTAGGCAGCGCGAATGCACAGGATAGTATAGATGGTAGCTCTCAAAAGTGTTGCACTGGATAATCTATTTCGGGGTATCTGTTAAACATACGATGACATACAGGAAGCAAATCATAGGCCTCCTGACTTTTGGAGTATGAAGACAACATATCGAAAATCTTTCTAGTCTCTCGGCGTCTCTCATAAGGATAATGTGCGACCTCTCTCAACTCGGCTTCTGCAGAGCAGTAGATCACCCGAAAAACTCACCAGAGACGAGTGTTTCCCACGGTTTCCCTGTGTCCCAGACACGGCGCATAAGGGATCTCGCTCTGTCAATCTAACCATCACATTAGCATACAGTGCAGTGACAGACAATTCTAAAGAGCTTACCTGCGTCATCCCAAACCCCTCAACCCCCCTCAGCCGCTCCATAATCTTCTCCCTCTGCCCTTCATCCTGCGCATCGCACCCCGCCACAAACATAGGAAAGAGCAGACACGCCTCGGCCGACGACCCGCGTCGAACCTTGTACAGTAACGCCACGATCTCGTGGATGGCACTCTGCACTTCAACATCTGTGGCTGGCTTGCCGAGAACGCGCCGGTACAGGTGGATGAGCCCGCCCCAGTGGAACATCTCATTCGTGGCATAGATTTCTGTCGCGTCCCATGCGCCTTCTGATTCTGCTTCGGCGTCGCTGCGGTGATTACAGCCTTTGTGAATGTGTTGGTCTGACAGGCCTTCTTCGAGTTCGTGTCTGATGTGCATGGCTTGGTCGTAGATCTCTGGACTGGGATGCCAGTTTTGTCGTATATTGCCATCAGCATCAATACGCAGGGGTTCGCACAGTTTTGCGAGTTCAGAGATCTTGGCTAGACTGCCGACGCAGCGGTTTGTGAAGCCCATGAGGCAGTCGATTTCAAAGTCTTGGTCTGCCGATGCGTTTTCAGAGGACCAGTAGAAGGAGCCGAGGGGAGTGTCGTTTTTGTTGCCGCTGAGGGATCCGAGGACGTCGAGGTAGGCGAACCAGCGTGAGAGGAAGTAGGCGACGCGGTCTTGTCGGTCCATGCCCCGGGGTCCTCCTCTTGCCATGACCATCTGGCGTGCCATCTGTAGGTGGCTTTGCCAGGATATGGGGACTTCGAATGTGTTGGATGCGATGATTTCTAGGCTTGCCATCATGATTACGGCGGCTAGAGTGCTGTTTGAGATGTGGTTGGGGTTTTCAGTGAGTGATTGGCGCAGTTTGGGGAATACGTCCTGGACCCAGACGGCAATTCGGTTGGCTGGTTCCGGTTGATTGAGCATGCGGGCGCGGTGGGAGGCACTGTAGGCAAGCAAAAGGTTCATAATGCTTTCATCGCGTACAGCCACTGTCAGGGTCAACTAAGACGTAATGTATGAGGCTAGCACAGACTTACTTTCTGGCAAGATTTGGCGGAAGGGGTTCTTCTCGCAATCGTGAGGGACGAGGATTCGCGCAGTGTGGTTGATGAAGTGGTGGAAGTAGAGTAGGTTCATCTTGTTCTCCATCAATAGTGGAGGCAACGGCTCCAGTGATTTGGGTATCCGTATCTGGACCGGCTTAACGTAGTATCCTCCTTTTCCAAAGGCCATATCTTTGCTACGGGGCTCTTGCTCTACAAATGAGAAGTCATTGTTCAACTTCACAGTACCGATCGGTGGGCTGAAAATGGCAATGGCAGATTGATCTTGATTCCTAGGTGTGTCGAAGTCTGGCAAGCCCATATCATACCCGTACGTGGTAGCTAGGGAGTCTGTGACGGGATACCGCCGTTTTGATTCGCCTTCGAGACTGTGCTCCTGCAAGCTATTATTATGTGCATCGTTGATTAGAGATTGTACTGAGAGTCGACGTAAGTCGGTCGACGGTTGTGTGGGACTCTGTTGCTTCGCTGAAGTTCGCATCGTTGGGTCTTCAGAGCCTACTGAAGAGTTCGGGGTCAACGGCATCGTCATTGAAGGATTATAGGGTGTAGGCGGACCTGTATTTGGCGAGCATGCATCTGAGAAAGTTGTAGCAGGAGAGTCTGCTGAATGGCTCGATTTGTGTCGTTTGTAAGTAGAGTCTGCCAACCCCCGAGGCGGAGGCATCGACGGTGAAGAAACAGGTGCACCTGCATTGAGGGAAGTGAAGCCAGCATTGCTATAGCTGAAGCTCTCAAAAACTGGGCCCGGTGGCGACGAGAAGTCAAGAGAAGGTTGGAAGTGAGTTTGGTCAAAGGGCGCCGACGCAGCCTGACTACTCGCGTTCTGATAGTACTGACCCTGCTGCGATGCTCCAGTGTCGTTTCCAAATTGACGTGCACCTGACTGGCCTAATCGAACCAACACTGGATCGACAGCGGATGGGGCCGATCGAGGAGGTGAGGCGTGAGATGATGAACAGTCATTCCGATTTACGGGATTCGAGTGGACTACCGGATCAGGGGTGGGTGGATATACTGACGACATATCATCTTCGAACGAGAAGGTCGATGTGTAAGGACTGCCTGACCCCATGCTCGATACATCTGAGCCAGATCTTCCTGGGTCCCGTTTTGAACGCCCACCCCAGTTGAGCCGAATACTGTAGTCGCATGGATCGCCCTGACGTTCACAGTTTAGGCAATTCGGCTTCTCCTCTCCACTGTAAGATGGTCATCGCCAGTCACATCCAAGACAGATCGGACAATAATCACCACTTGATCTTGCGCGCTTTACATGGCCTGTCCAGGTGTTAGTCCAGCTGCGGATAACAGACATGCATTGACTTGCCAACAGCCATTGCGCGATCGTTTCTTCGGCTCGACGCCGGGCTTC